GGGGAACGGTTAAGCCCCCCCCCCCCAACCAACACCGCCTTTGTGACGGGATCACCGTTGCCGCGGGAGGCCGCATGCGCACAGCCGTCCGCGTTCTCGCGGCCCCGCGCGTGCGCTCTCGGGCCGCCGCGCTGTGCCTCCCCCGCTCCCCCCCGCTCTTTTTCTTACGACGTCACTAGTTACTAACGGCCGCCGCCGACGAGACCGAGGCTTGGAAATTTGTTTTCTTCTCGCCTGAAAGGAATCGCAAACATACCAATAAGGAAAACAAAGACTTAACGAGTGTTTCCTCCCCAACTCACCAAAGCACGTTTCCCGGGCTGGAGCTGCTGAAAATGCGGGCCGAGGCACCGCCCGCGCGACGCTTATATAGGGGACCGCCCACCGAGGAGGATCACGTGACTCTCAGTTTGTTCGCGCGCCTATAGGTCGCTACCACGCATGCGCCGAGGAGTGGCGGGGACGGGGGAAGGGAAAGGACGGCCAACAAAAAACACATTAGCATCCGGGTATTAATTCAACTTTCTCCCTCCAAAAAGACTCCCGTATGAGTCATCCGGGGTCTTGCTTGGTTTGCGCAGGCTTCCGCATCCGTCCTCTTCCCTAGAAGAAAAGAGAGCTTCACGTTCCGGCTGCTTCCGCTTCCCGTTAGAAGCCCCCCACGTGGGAAGCAAAAAGAGTAGAAATCATAGCAATCAGTTAAAAAAAAATAATTAATGAAACCGGTCGGGTTGGAGTCTTTTGTTCCAGTATCTGAAATAATCATCCACTGTATCTCCAAAACTTCTTTCGCTTCTTGGAGGAGCCCGATCCCTCGCTGGGTGTAGACCCTGGCCGGCGGAGGAGTTTGAGAAAATGGAGATGTAGATGAGCGTGGGAAAAGGAGAAGTCACACGCGGGTATTTAGTGTCTTCCGTTTCTAAGCCGGCCTTTTAGAAACCCGCGTCTCAGGCTTCTTGGCGCCTGGGTACAGTTCGTAACCGGCAGAAGGAAAAAAAACTCATTTCGTTTCTTTTTCAGATTTTGTATTTATACACTTATTTTATTAATCGCCCGATCTCTGCTATTGCGGGGCTCTGTACAATATCCATAAATACATAGCAAGATAAAAACAATAACAGATTTCAGGAAAAGATCAGATATAGAATCCTGATTAATCCAGTTTCAGACTGCCGGCTACTTCGCGGGCAGGGGGGAAGAGGGCTTGCAAACAATGCTCCCTCTAAACTATGGAGTCTTGTGAGCAAACATTCTGCTTTGTGAGCTGCTGGCATTAAAGTTGTGAGCGAGGGATTTGGCTGCTGCATAAATTAGTTTGCTCTGGAGCCGTCCTCCCTGAGCTAAGGGAAAAACGTGTGAGCTGGATGCTAAAATGAGCTAGATCACACTAACTCAGTTTAGAGGGAACACGGCTTGCAAATATAAACAGCAGAAGGAACGCCCGCGAAACGAGGTGGGGGGTGGGGTACGTCCACGTGTTTTCTCGGCTGTGGCTCCCGCCGTGCGGAATAACCTTCCCCAGGAAAGCTCCCAATCTCCTGGCTTTCCGCAAAATATGCAAATCTGAACTATTCGAAATGTCTGCTCAGGTCCTAAAGTTGCGCTGCACAAAATGGTTGACAAACCTACTTGGGTAAACAATGGAGTCTGTGGTCTGTACTGCCACTTAGAGCTTATTGTAAGTAGGATCTTATTATGTGATTTCTGCGCTTTTTAATGTATCATGCGAATAGTTATGTTCCGCTTCAGTTCTTTCTAGTGGTTCTAGACTTCTGACATTCTAATGCAATCGTTACTGAATGTCCCATTTGGTTGATTGTTACTGGCTCGCTATGGGTAATCCGATTTGTGTCCCTGTGAGAAATGTAAATACTTTATTTTAATGCGACTGGCAGTTAGAACGAGGAGGGACAGCAGAAAAGGATTGGGCCGGCACAAACTAAATAGTCCATTTTCTTTTCTTCTTCTTCTTTTTTAACTTTCTTTATTGGTTCTCCCAGAACAGAAAAGAGAAAAAGAACATAAATACTTGTTACAACGAAGTGCTACAACAAACAGTAATGTCTCTTCACATCTCATATTTAGCATAACCAAACCATACATCAATCCACTGGCTCTTTTCCTCAAAATTACATACGTAGTATTTCTATATCAGTAACCAACTATTATAAACAAACAGCTTTCTAATGTTCACAGATTTTTCAGATATTGAATACACAACATAAAATAAATGGCCTTATTCATTTTCTTCTTAATTGGTTAGCATTTATTTATCACTAGCCATGTAGACTTTCCTCCCTTATCTTATCTATAACACTTCACATGTTTCAAGCACGGAAACAACTTCAATGCACTTTCCACCTGGATTTTACTGTGTAAACTGGCATAATCCAGTTGGAAAATGCATTGAAAGTGGATTATTTAGTGTGTGTGATTGCAATCTTTGACACACCACGGTGAAAGGGGGACGGGGAACCTTACAGTCCTCTTCCTAGCCTGTGCTTGCTCTGCAGAAGAGAGGAAATGAAACACCAAAATGCACAGAACCTGGCCAATTGCACCAGAAATCATTGTAACCAGTTTGCTACTACCCTGAAGCATCAGTCATTACTGTGGGCACATTACTGTAACGCCACCCATCTTGCTAACTCTACAAGGGGACATTTGACTGTGCTGCTTAAGGTGGGCTTGGCCAAAGCTCTGGATCTAACCTGGCACTGTTGCAAGTTGCTTGTCACAGTATCTGCTTGTGTGCAGCCTGGTGGCGTTGGGAGCCTTGCTGGAACGAAAGTTGGCAACCCCCCTCGTCTGCTTAGCATTCTCGACTCTCTGTCTCTTATTTCATTAGGATTTGATAGGGAGAGGTCGGTTCTTTGTCCGCTACTTGTTAATAAGCTCAGCTGTCCAGTATGAAACTTATACTGGGGGGGGAGTTGCCAACTCCCTCATCCCAGTAAGCTCCTGTGCCTTCGCAAGCTTGCCTTAACAGACTACGGAGAGACAGGCAGAACCAGCCAATGAACAGGATGGGTGTGCTGGGCAGAGGTCTGTCTGAGTGGCTTGTGCTCTGGAAAGGAATAGGAAAGGGATCTGTTTGCACAGCGCTGCTGTTGCAAGGGGGAGGCTTCTCAGGTTGTGCATCCGCATCCACCACCACTTTTGGTGTTTTATAAGCCATCCAGCCTGTAGGACAGAAAGTTGGGGAGGGGGGCAGATGGAGGCAAGGAACCTCCCCTGCCTGCTGCAGAGGGATGGTGTGTGCGGGGGGGGGGGGTTGTTGTCAAACCAAGCGATTGGTGTGCTGGTCTGCCAGTTAGCATGAGTTACCCTTCCCAAGTAATTGTATTTGATAGTGCGTCACACACTTACTCAGCCCAACCTACCTCACAGGGTTGTTGTGAGGATAAAATGGAGGAGAGGAGAACGATGTAAGGCACTTTGGGGTCCCCATTGGGGAGAAAGGTGGGGTGCAAATGAATTAAGTACCTTAATAAATTATCCACCCTGCCTGGGACTCTCTAGGACAGGGGCCCCCAACGTGGTGCCCACTAATGCTCCCTCTCAGCTGTGGAGTCTTGTGAGCAAAAATTCTACTTCGTGAGCTACCGGCATTAAAGTTGTGAGTGAGCGATTTGGCTCCTGCATAAGTTAGTTTGTCCTTCCTGTGCGAAGACAAAAATGTGAGAGCCAGAGGCTACAAAACGGTGAGCTAGCTCACACTAACTCAGCTTAGAGGGAACTCTGATGCCCACCAAGTGTTTTTAGAAAGTGAATGGGTTCGGGTCCCGGCTCTTTTTGTAGCAGGCACTCCTTTGCATATTAGGCCACACCCCCATAATGTAGCCAATCCTCCAAGAGCTTACAGAGCTCTTCTTACAGGGGCTACTGTAAGCTCTTGGAGGATTGGCTACATTAGGGATGTGTCGCCTAAGATGCAAAGGAGTACCTGCTACGGCAGGGTGTGTGTTACCCGGCAGGGCTTCTGAGTGGCTGCTGAAGATTTGATTAGTTGTGACGATTTTTTGAAAAATTGCTTTGGCAGCCGCTGACACCACAGCTTGAGGTTATTCGCTTTGTGACCGGAGGTAAGCTATCTATTTACTTATTTTTCGCATTTATATCCCGCCCATCCTGTAGATGAGCTCAGGGCGGGTTACAGCATTTCAATAAATACAATAAAATTTAAAACACATTATAAACATATACAATCAATAATCACAGCTTGCCGTAGGGAAAAAGCGGCCCACTGATGTAGATAAATATGACCGGTTATCAGTGGGTGCGAGATAGTCACCTCGGGGGAGGGGGGAACAGCTCCGTTTTGCAGGTCCTGCGGAATTGAATAAGATCCCGCAGGGCCCTGATCTCAGTAGGGATCATGTTCCAACAGGTGGGTCGAGCATGTTCCAACAGCCTGGTCGAGGCTAGGTAGATGTCCTTTGGGCCAGGGATCACCAGGAGGTTTTTGATATCAGAGCGTAATGCGCTCTTAGAGGTGTATATGGGAAGAGGCGGTCCCTTAGGTATGTTGGTCCCAGGCCGTGTAAGGCTTTGAAGGTTATTACCAACCAATGCAGCTGACAAAGCACATGCCGAATGTGAGCCTGCACAGGTGTCGACGTCAGCAGGCACGCCACCGGATTTTGTACCAACTGTTATTTCCGGATCAGCTTCAGGGGTAAGCCTGCGTAGAGTGAGTTGCAGTAATCAAGCCTGGGAGTGACCATTGCATGGATCACCAAAGCTAAGTCACGGGGGGGTGAGAGAGGGCTTCAGTAGCCTGATCTGCCTAAGATGGAAAAATGGGACAAAATTTGGGGCGGGCCCCACCTCCTGCAGTGACCATTTTCTGGCTGCGCCTATCACCCATTGTCAGAATTCCAAAGGTGCCTACAGGTTCAAAAAGCTTGAGGACCCCTGCTCCAGGACTCTGGAGTAGCCATCCCCATGTGAGGCTGGAACGCAGGAATGATGGTGTAATGATTCCATGTTTTGGTGTGTGTGTTCCTTTAAATGTATATGAGGAGATTCTGTGATATGAGAGAGACAAGTATGGAAGAGTTTTGAAGAGAGTCTGTGTGACTCTGAAAGTTATGAAGGATTGAAGAGAGAACATAGTCTGTGTTAATATGGAATTCTGAGTCAAATTCTGTGTGAATAAGTCCAACGGTTTAGTCTGTGTGACTAGTTGATTCTATTCAGTGTGAATAAAACAAAGAGGCTAGCCTGTGTGGCTATATATATGTGTATAAGCCTGTCAGAGTGGAGTTTGGAGTTTGAGAGACTGGTTGTGGCACCAAGCTTTGCCAGTTATATTTACAAGTTCCTTTCTTCAGCAGATGTTCAAAATAACCAGAAACCTATTTTGTTCTTTATTAAATAAATCTTTTTTGTTTAAACTTATCCCAAAAATCAATACAGTACTTCCTCAGGGCCACATAGTCCTCTGAAGTGCCCAGACCCTAGGTCATACTACCAAAAGAGAGAGAGATTTGGAATTTTTAATTCCTGGTGGCAGCATAAAACTACCAAGTTTATATACACAGAGAGTGTTTAAAGGTAAAACCGTTTCCCCTATAAGTGAGGATGCCACAGACAGTACAATATTCCTGTACACTGCCATTATGCTATGATTTTCTTCTACCATTCTCCTTGCTCTGATCTCTGTGGTTGGTGTCTGAATGCACTGTGCCATATCTACTGCCTGTGTGGCTAGTGAACCGATGCCGAGCGCATGAAATGTGGGGTCTAGTCTGTCCTTAGCCCCAGCTGGTACCATCTGGCAAGCATTTGCAACTTCTTTGGTCTTAATTGAAGTGAGATTTGTGTTGGGGCTGAGGAAAGCAAGGTGGAATTACTTTCAGGGGGGGGGTTGTCTTCAGAAAGTACAGTGGGTTTCAGAAATGGGTTAAGAGAACATAAGAACATAAGAGAAGCCAATGTTGGGTCAGGCCAATGACCCATCCAGTCCAACACTCTTGTCACACAGTGGTCAAAAATACCAGGTGCCATCAGGAGGTCCATCAGTGGGGCCAGGACACTAGAAGCCCTCCCACTGTTGCCCCCCACCCCAAGCACCAAGAAGACAGAGCATCACTTGCCCCAGAGTCCCTATCTATACCTTGTGGCTAATAGCCACTGATGGACCTCTGCGCCATATGCTTATCCAATTCCCTCTTGAAGCCGTCCATGCTTGTAGCCGCCGCCACCTCCTGTGGCAGTGAATTCCATGTGTTAATCACTCTTTGGGTGAAGAAGGACTTTCTTTTATCCGTTCTAACCCGACAGCTCAGCAATTTCATTGAGTGCCCACGAGTTCTTGTATTGTGAGAAAGGGAGAAAAGGACTTCTTTCTCTACCTGCTCTATCATCCCATGCAAAATCTTACAAACCTCCTCCCTGCCTGCTTTGATTGCAAGCAGAAAAGAGCAGGGGTATGTCCGTGTGGTGGTGGTGACGGCAGGGAGAAGAAAACTCACACCGCTATCGGATGCAAACTCCTGGTGTTGTTCCTAGGGTTGTCAGCGCCGGATGGGGAAATACCTGGAGATTTCGGGTGGTGGAGTTTGTGGCAGGAAGAGACAGAGGTTTGTGGGAGGGAGGGACCTCAGCAGGGTATAATGCCGCAGAGTCCGTCCTCCAAAAGCATCCGTTTTCTCCAGGGGGACTGATCTCGGT